TTTCCTTATAATCTAATTTAAAGTAGGGATCCCGAGAGGTATGCACAAGTTTTGTTGTAAGGAGTATAAAAGCTTTCATTTAATTTGAACCATATTCAAAAACTATTTAGTATATCTATATTTATATGACCATATTAACACACTCTTCCAAATAATCCAAAATAGGTACTTATTTATTTTGATCAAAATAGATTTTTCTAACCTTAAAATTTCAAAATTAGATGATATTTTTTGCTATAATATATTAACCTACCTTTGATACAGATATTCTTATTCCATAATAGAGAAGCTAGATTTTTTTAATAAATGCCGTTTAGTTAAAACTATTTTATGGATAAAACCAGATATAATATATTAACATATTATGTAAACCAAATGCACAAAAATTTTACTTATTTGGCACTATACACTTTAAAATTTCATTAAATGCAGTATTTATACTCCTAAACTCTTAAACCAACCATTGTTACTGTGATACTATAAAGATTTATAAACTTTTAACGCTTAAACATAAACGGTAATAGTATAAATATTATTTCTTTCATTGACTATACTTTGACAGATACATAACCTGAAAAGCCTTAAATGACAAATTATCAAAAGACTGCGTTCCGTACGTGGTCACGTGGTGGGACTTTGAAGTGTGGAGCATAGTACCTCTTAAAAAATATTAGTAATAAAAGTACATACAATAAAAGATTATAACATAAAAAAAATTTTCTTTACTTTACTTGTATTAAAAAACAGAACAAACCTCTACATTTTTTAAAACTAAATTTAATAAAACTTAAAAAATACCTGGTAATAATTTTGTTGGGTAAGCCTGACGATTAAGCCTTCTATTAGCTATAAAGTCTTTCTCAGCAAAATGCTTTGAACACACTCTGCAGTTTTTGAAGACTTTTTCAGGTGTCGTTTCAAAAAGTCGTTTATTTTGACACAACTTAACACTGATTAAACAAGTCCATATGCCAAGGACGTGACGTCATTAGACACAGCGACATCTGTAGGACATGGAGAAAGTTTATTTTAAAATACCCCCCCCCTATTGAGATATTCGTCTATTTGGTTTGGTCTAGGGTTACGACAGTTTTATAGTAAAGTGTATTCAAAACCAAGCTGGACTAAAACAAAAAACGCCAAACGCGTGATCAGTCGTTTTCAGGTGGATAGAACGGTTCTTATTGGTAGATTCTGCGACTCATGAATTGCGACGCGTGCCGAAAAATTCTTACCAGGGGCGCATTATGTTCATTGCGGTCATTAAGAGTATCGTTTGATTACTTTCTTGTTTTCGCGGCTTTCATCTTTGTGGTTATTTTTCTTATTGTTATATTATTAGTACCTACTTGTTATATAACGTTATTTGTTGTTTTTGTGGTTATTTGGTTGTTATTGTTATTTTTACTCAATTAAGTGCGATGTCTGACACAGACGAAGCTGAACTTTTAGAGGGCTTAAGTCCAGTTATGTAGATCAGCTTAAGGGCAATTCCATGCGTAATAGCGTAATTTTCTTCAAATTTATAACAATCGAAATGTTCCAAATGTTATTAAACTAGGAGCATACATGTCTACTTGTGCCTAGAAAGTTATTACTTTATTTATTTAACCCAATATTCCATAAAATTTTAAATAATTAAAGTCTTAACTGCTTTTGAATTCTGCACTAAAAATATGTTATGTCCCATGAGTTATCATATTAACCAATTTTTTAAAACCTCACACAATCAAAGCAGTTAAGTTGAATGTTTTTTTAATACACTATAGGCAAAGTATATTTTTTAAATAAGATTATGTTTCATACAGTTTAGGATTCAGATAAAAAGGTTGCTTCATTTAACCAATTTTTTAAAGAAAGTTTTTCGTGTCCCATGAGTTATCACACGTTTTGTCTGCATTTTGTCTAGAGAACAATTGGTGAACTTATTCAAAAATGTTAAAAATGTACATTGGCCTATCCTTTAAAGTTTAAACATTTTATACATTCCTAATAAATATAGGTATTCTAGTATACCAAGTTAAATTTTATTTCTGTCATCTGAATGTCCCGTGAGTTATCATGGAATTGCCCTTAAGTACTTAAGTTAAAAATATGTTTGAGACTGACAAAATGCTATTCTTGTGATTAGTGTAAAATTGTGCAATGTTAAATATTAATGTAAATATTTAGAGAATAAGCCTGTAATGAAATGTAAATTTCGAAAGGTTTTTTAACAAATTCTATCTATCTAAATTTTGGGAAATTTCTTTTTTCCATGTTTTCGGAATGTTAAAACTATAATAAATAAACTAAAATAAAATAAAGCAAAAAAAACTACAAACGTCAACAAAAATTACTTCTTTATTATTGACAACGTTGTTAGTTGAAATATTTCTTACCCATCAAAACAATTAAATTAAAAAATATTTATAGTACAGTCATCTTAGTCAAAAAAAGGGATCAACCTCGGAATCTAACGGAATAAGCGAATAAGCTGAATTTTTGTGAAAACCTTTATTTTAGCATTACAAATGTTGTCTCAAAAGTCACATATGCCAACGTGTGAGCGGCCTTAGATATTCAAGGTCAAAGGTCGCAAAAATCAGTTTTTTAAGAATATCTCGTTTTCTCTGCCTCCTATCGTATTTGCATTAATTATAAAAGTTGTAGAAAATAAAATTCTCTACAAATTTTGTTTACAAAATATTTTTATACGTCGAACCGTTTTTGAGATAGAGGGCGCAGAGTGTGGAGCGCCCAGCCATACGTACCTTTAGCGCAAGGTAAATCGTGAATCCCAATCTATTATACCGTTTTTTTAATTAATTATGTAATAAATACTACTAAAATAAAAATTTAATACCTTATACTTATATTTAAATTTCTTTTAAATCAAATATATTTTATCTTCATATATATCTTATATTTTAATTTAATTTTAATGAAGGATAATTGAATCGGAGTAGGAAAAAATGTTTTTATTTATATCAATATTCTTATTATTATTATTATTAATCTTTATCTTCTTCATCCTCGTCTTCTTCAGGTTGGCCAGCAATTTCAGACTCATTCTCATCATCACTCTCCTCGTTATCATTGACATTAATTGTCATATCTTATAAAACTTAAACTTATAACGCGTTTGTACAGATTTTTTTGCCTTTGTTGCCTCATCTGCAACTTCACCACAAAATAAGCACAATATTTTAAAATCAAACACATCATTCCCTTTTTTACGAGGTACAGTTGATGACGTTGAAGGTCCAGTCTCTTCAAGGCGACGTTTTGCTGCTGCAATTTTACTATAGTACGCCAAAGATAATTATCTTTGTAGTACGCTATAGCGTACAATTTTCGACACTCAATATGAACGTTCACAGAATTCAAAGTATTTAGGTAGTTTATGTTTATTTCTCTCAATAATTGCTTCTTTTAAAGTCTTTATACCGCGCACAAAAGTCACAGAATCACCTTCAGAAAGTAACTTATTACAAATAAAACACAAATCAGCCATGTTAACCTTTAAAATATTACGAATATTACCTGTCACAACCCTAGACCTATACCTAGGGTCACAACTTGCTTTAAAATTTAATATACGTATACCTAACCTTTTTATTTATAGCAAGCCCACTATAGTATTTCCAGGTCTGTTATTTTAAAATCAATATCTAGATCCAACAGATGACCAGAGACATATTTAAGGCAAATTCATTTAATGTATTTTCTTCTTAAAATGCATTTATCATTAATTAGAATAACATTAGAATATATTTAGAATGATTCACTTCAATATTTAATTATTTGTATCTCAAAAGTAAGTAATATTTAATGACTATTTGTTTAAAAAAAATGTATAAAAATAAATATAAGGTATAAAATTGTTATTTAAGTAATATTTAATAAATAATTAATTAAAAAAACGGTATAATAGATTGGGATTCATGATTTACCTTGCGCTAAAGGTACGTATGGCTGAGCGCTCCACACTCTGCGCCCTCTATCTCAAAAACGATTGGACGTATAAAAAAATGTTTTAAACAAAATTTGTAGAGAATTTTATTCTCTACAACTTGTATAATAAATGCAAATACGATAGGAGGCAGAGAAAGGGAGATATTCTCAAAAAATTGATTTTTGCGACCTTTGACCTTGAATATCTAAGGTCGCTCACACGTTGGCATATGTGACTTTTGAGACAACATTTGCAATGCTAAAATAAAGGTTTGTACAAAAATTCAGCTTATTCCGTTAGATTCCGAGGTAAAATGCCTATATGACTGGACTATTAATTAAATATGTAAGAAAAAACCTTTAAGTTTAAAAAATAAATTTAAAATAATAAAATAATTTTCCAAAATTTTGTTAATTTCATAATTTAAAATATAATTTTAAAAAATATATTTTTCTTGCTGCCCGGCAGAAAATACGTTGTTTCGTCTCCGATTCCACGGCAGAAAGTTTAAGTTTTATGTATTGGTCAAGCTATACGTATTTTCGGCCGAGGTAGTAAGAAAAGTTTCATTTCCTCCCGCTACCATGACAACGCTACAGTTTGATTGTTTTTGAATGTAAACGTCAGAATTAAATTAAACGTCAGATTTTAATTTTGACACAAGTTTTTTTATACACATTTAATTTTTTCCCGTATTTTCTACACGGGCAGAAAGTGTGAGATTCCTGGCTTCGCCTCGGGCATCATGGCGCGCAGTGCAGGAATCTCACACTTTCTGCCCTTGTATACACTATAGTGTAATATAGTATTTTTTAACTATTTTAAAACCTTCACATTTTATAAATTAAAAATGTTAATTTATTAAGACTGTAAGAATATTTTTAAGATCAAATGGTTTGTTAAATAAATAAATAAATGATCGATACACTTTTCGTCGATCACGTGAAGAGAGCATGAACAGCGCATGATAGTGTTTATATCGAGTTTTTCTTGGATTTGAATAGACTTTAGAAAATAGTAACTTAAAAAAAAAATACTATTACTATTTTGTTTTGTTTTGCAGCGTGAATGTATCTCTATTCATGTCGGCCAAGCCGGAGTCCAAATCGGCAACGCCTGCTGGGAATTGTACTGCCTGGAACATGGCATCCAGCCTGACGGCCAAATGCCATCAGACAAAACCGTCGGCGGCGTGGACGACAGTTTCAACACCTTCTTCATGGAGACCGGAGCCGGCAAGCACGTACCCAGAGCCGTGTTCGTCGACTTGGAACCCACCGTGGTGGATGAAGTAAGAACTGGAACATACCGCCACCTGTTCCACCCCGAGCAACTGATCACAGGTAATAGACCAGGGTCGATAATTTTTGAAACCAAAAAAAATAACAGTAGGATGAAACCCATTGGAAAAGGAGAAGAATATAATAAAAATTAAAGGAAAAATAAATTACGGGCGATCTGACTTCGGGAAGTGGGAGGGGGGGGGGGTTTAAGGGTAAAAAATGGTTTATCTCGATTTCCGGCAAAACTACAAGTCCTATGGAAAAAAGTTAAATGTCAAAGTTGTAGGTAATAAAAAGATCTACAACTTTTGTATTCACAATTTTTTCACATAACCTCAAAATTTATGTGAAAAATTCAAAAAACCAAGTTTTTGGTTTTTTATTTTTATCTTTAAAAAAAAAAAATTTTTTTCCACGAAATTTGGTGAAAACTTACCTTTTTATGTAATTTATTTGATTTGAAATATTTATTATTTCGCCTTATTTTGACTTAATATCAAAAAAGCACCCTAATTTTCAAGCGAAAATTCTCGCGTCAAAATATCAGCTTTTTTCAAAAAGTCGGTGTGCTTTTTGTTCTTTGAACTCTCTACTTTCTGATGGTGTAAAAAAAATATACATTACTATGGTAAATGTTCTCAGAAAATGCAAAAAATATTATAATGAATAACGAAAAAAACTCGAATTCGAAAATTTATTTTAATCATTATGTACAATTTCATCAAAAAAATGTGATTATTGCAATTTTTTTAAGTTAAAAAGTTTATTTATTAAATTCTAATAACATTTATGTCAGAAAATCTCATAAAATATAAAAATACATGTAAATCATACTATTGAATTTAGATACTTCATTCTGATTACGTTATTCATTATAATATTTTTTGTATTTTCTGAGAACATTTACCATAGTAATGTATATTTTTTTCACACCATCAGAAAGTAGAGAGTTCATCGAACAAAAAGCACACCGACTTTTTGAAAAAAGCTGATATTTTGACGCGAGAATTTTCGATTGAAAATTAGGGTGCTTTTTTGATATTAAGTCAAAATAAGGCGAAATAATAAATATTTCAAATCAAATAAATTACAGTGTATTTGGGACATAAAAAGGTAAGTTTTCACCAAATTTCGTGGAAAATTTTTTTTTTTTAAAAGATTAAAATAAAAAACCAAAAACTTGGTTTTTTGAATTTTTCACATAAATTTTGAGGTTATGTGAAAAAATTGTGAATACAAAAGTTGTAGATCTTTTTATTACCTACAACTTTGACATTTAACTTTTTTCCATAGGACTTGTAGTTTTGCCGGAAATCGAGATAAACCATTGTTTACTTTTAAACCTCCCACTTCCCGAACTCAGATCGCCCGTAATTTATTTTTCCTTTAATTTTTATTATATTCCCCTCCTTTTCCAATGGGTTTCATCCTACTGTTATTTTTTTTTCTCTTTTTACCATTTTTAAAGGCTATAAGGATAGAGATGCGACTTGAAAAAAACGGTCCGTTTTTTTTTGTTTTTTTTTTCAGGTTTTTTTCATTGTTTTTTTTAAATGGTTTTTTTTTCACATTTTAGGTTTTTTTTTCAAGATTAGTCCCATTTGCCTAATTTTTTAGGTTTCATGAACTAAAATTAGCCACTAAATGACAATTAGTAAATGTATTTACGTAAATAGTCTCGCGCTATGCACGCGCCACCACCACCGAATTGACCAATAAGGGCCGCGCTTGTTTTGATTTGGTCCTAAAAAAACTAACTACATATAACATTTTTGATTCAGCGCTTGATTTTTCAAAAAGCTACCAAAAGCACTTTTTTCATGATTTTTCAAATTCATGTAGAGTATGGAATTTTTTTTTCAAAAAAACAATAGCAAATTCTTGTAGAACATTTATTCATTGGTGGTAAAGTCAGAACATTCCGTGGACCAGAAAGCCAAAAAAAATCGATTTTTTTATTACGGTATTTGTTAGGATTGAGCGTTGCACATTTTTCATCTCAAAACTAGAAGCTTCAAGCTTCAAATTGCTTTTTTTACGGCTCCAGTACGACCATTTTTAACAAAGATACAGCTATCCGAAGAATCGCAAAAAAAATTTTTATACTTTAATTTTTTGTATTGGTGTAGAAGTTTTACATTGCTACTGGTTTCTAATGTGGAAACTACCAAATAATTAGAAATCAGATTTTTTAGTCTCGGTCAAAATTTTCAATTATGAAAAATTTAATGTATTCTTCATTTCACTTTATTATTAATATACAGGGTGTTATGTAATTAATGTTATATATTAAAATGGGTTGTTCCTTAGGGTCCATAAAGAAGCACCTGAAACTTTTTTTTTCTAAATTCCAAAAATAATTTATAATAACCTTTATCCTACCAAAAAGTACGCCACTGATCGACTAGGAACTTTAGGTTAATCTGGTGGATTTATTATGTTATGGTTGGTAACAACAGTTTCCAAAATCTCTCAAAAAAGTTGACAAACATTGTTTAAATTTAGCTTAATTACAAAAATGACAAAATTAACAATGCAAATTGTCAATTTGGCGTTTTTATTAGTTGTTGGTTATTTCATTTTTGTACTGAAAGTAAATTCAAACAAAATCTGCCAACTTTTATGACAGAATCTAGTGCATTTCTTTTAAATTTTAGGTTATGTTTTCAAATTGTAAATATCTTAACTAAGGGAAGTGCTTTTGGATTTATTTACACAAATTAAAGTTTAACCTGTGAACTGGTCCCAATTTCATCTGAGTAAACAGAGAAAAAACTGATGAAAAAATTAATTTTGTGGTTATAGATTTCAAATTTCAAAGGTACTAAATTTTCTAATCATTGCTTAAGCTAATAGCTGGATCAGTAAATAAATACAGAAGGGTATTAGAGCTTCAAGGGCATAAAACTTTTGTATTTATTGAGTTTTTATTTATTTTTTGCAAGAAACATTTTTAGTAACAATTTTTTACATCTGGCAACGCATAGCTACTTTGTTGGTTTGTATCTATGTACTCACAAAATACAGGTGTGCAGAGATAAACAAGTGTGTAACCAGTGGCGTATCACAAAAAATATAAAAAACTTCTAATGCATATTTTTTCTTTATCTTTGGAAAAATATTTTTCCTTCATTCCTTATGTCAAAAGGTATTCAGTATTTTAATATATAACATTAATTACATAACACCCTGTACGTTTTCATTTTGAAAAAAAACAAAAAAGACCGTTTTTTTTTTCTAGGATTTTTTTCATGTTTTTTTTCACATCTCTAGGTAAGGAGGATGCCGCGAATAACTACGCGCGCGGCCACTACACCATCGGCAAGGAGATCGTCGACATAGTTCTGGACAGGATCCGCAAACTGGCCGACCAGTGCACCGGGCTGCAGGGTTTCCTCATCTTCCACTCGTTCGGTGGGGGCACCGGCTCGGGTTTCGCGTCGCTTTTGATGGAGAGATTGTCCGTGGACTACGGGAAAAAGTCCAAGTTGGAGTTCGCCATCTACCCGGCCCCTCAGGTTTCCACCGCTGTGGTGGAACCCTACAACTCCATTTTAACCACGCACACCACCTTGGAGCACTCCGACTGCGCCTTCATGGTCGATAATGAGGCCATCTTCGACATCTGCAGGCGCAATTTGGACGTCGAACGCCCCTCGTACACCAACTTGAACCGCTTGATCGGGCAAGTTGTGTCCTCCATAACAGCCTCTCTGAGATTCGATGGCGCCTTGAATGTCGACTTGACCGAATTCCAAACCAACTTGGTTCCATACCCACGTATACATTTCCCTCTTGTAACCTACGCGCCGGTTATCTCCGCCGAGAAGGCCTACCACGAGCAACTGAGCGTGGCCGACATCACCAACGCGTGCTTCGAACCCTGCAACCAGATGGTGAAGTGCGATCCCAGACACGGCAAATACATGGCCTGCTGCATGCTGTACAGGGGAGACGTCGTACCGAAGGACGTCAACGCCGCAATCGCCACCATCAAAACCAAGCGCACCATCCAGTTCGTGGACTGGTGCCCGACCGGTTTTAAAGTGGGCATCAACTACCAACCGCCCACCGTGGTACCTGGAGGCGATTTGGCGAAGGTGCAACGTGCCGTTTGCATGCTGTCCAACACCACCGCCATCGCGGAGGCGTGGGCGCGATTGGACCACAAGTTCGATCTCATGTACGCCAAGCGAGCCTTCGTGCATTGGTACGTGGGTGAGGGTATGGAAGAAGGTGAATTCTCCGAGGCGCGTGAGGATTTGGCCGCTCTCGAGAAGGATTACGAAGAGGTCGGCATGGACTCCGGAGACCAAGAGGGAGAAGGTGCCGAAGAATATTAAGCACGACAGACCTTTCCACTTTTAAAATGAATTTGTTTCCATTTTTTCAAGTCTGATGATTAACTTCAATAAAACATTTCTTTAACTGCATTTTTGTCTTTTATTTCTCACCTGAATTCCACGTGAATTCGACACGAAAAAAAACAGGGCTGGCAAATATCATGATATTTATGGGCCAAATTGACCACTTTTGAACCCGACCCCTTTCGATCTGGCCAAAAGTTTTCCATTCTTTTCTACCCTTTGAAAAACTTGTTTTAAAAATTTTTCAAATTTTTAATACCCCAAAAAAAGTAAAATTTTTCAAAAATATAGTTTTTTTATTTTCATATAGCCATAACTTTTTCAAACATTTACCTTTTGGTGTCTTTTTGTAATTTTTGTTTTTAAATAAATTTTTCAAACAAATAGACAAAAAAATTTAACATGATCAACTCTGTCGCTTTTTTTAATGAAATCGTTATTTTTGCAAAGTTCGCCATTTTTATTTTTTTCTCTCAAAAAACTAGTAATGTTACAATTGTTCCCGCCAATCTCAGAGTGGGCCGATTTTTTTTTATATTTTTTTTATTGAATTGAAAAAAATGTCTAATTTTCAAAAATGAAATTTTTTTCACAAACTTTATTTATATAATAAAATAAATGCAATTCAACGATTTAAAGGTATTATATTATATTCTTAATTTATAGGCTTAAGCTACGATTATACTGACTAGGATTAATGATTATTACAGTTAAAAACATTGCATTTTTGAAAATTAAACAATTTATTTTCAATTAAATAAAAAAAATCGGCCCGCTTTGGGAATGGCGGGAATAATTGTAACATTATTTGAAGTTTTTTTTTTTGAGAAAAAAAAAAAAAATTGCAAACTTCCCTCTCGTCACCTACGCGCCGGTAATCTCCGCCGAGAAGGCCTACCACGAGCAACTGAGCGTGGCAGACATCACCAACGCCTGCTTCGAACCCTGCAACCAGATGGTGAAGTGCGATCCCAGACACGGCAAATACATGGCCTGCTGCATGCTGTACAGAGGAGACGTCGTACCGAAGGATGTCAACGCCGCAATCGCCACCATCAAAACCAAGCGCACCATCCAGTTCGTGGACTGGTGCCCCACGGGCTTCAAAGTGGGCATCAACTACCAACCGCCCACCGTGGTACCTGGAGGCGATTTGGCGAAGGTACAACGCGCCGTTTGCATGCTGTCCAACACCACCGCCATCGCGGAGGCGTGGGCGCGATTGGACCACAAGTTCGATCTCATGTACGCCAAGCGCGCCTTCGTGCATTGGTACGTGGGTGAGGGTATGGAAGAAGGGGAATTCTCGGAAGCGCGTGAGGATTTGGCCGCTCTCGAGAAGGATTACGAAGAGGTCGGCATGGACTCCGGAGACCAAGAGGGAGAAGGTGCCGAAGAATATTAAGCACGACCGACCTTTCCACTTTTAAAACGAATTTGTTTCCATTTTTTTAAGTCTGATGATTAACTTCAATAAAACATTTCTTTAACTGCATTTTTGTCTTTTATTTCTCACGTAATTCGACACGAAAAAAACAGGGCTAATCTTTTTTGAAAATTTTTTCAAATTTTTTTATCCAACCCCAAAAAGGTTTTAAATTTTTCAAAATAGTATATTACACTATAGCGTTTATATACAAGGGCAGAAAGTGTGAAATTCCTGCACTGCGCGCCATGATGCCCGAGGCGAAGCCGAGGGCATCATGGCGCGCAGTTCAGGGCTCTCACACTTTCTGCCCGTGTAGGGAATACTATTTTTCTTACTACCTCGGCCGAAAATACGGGGAAAAATTAAATGTGTATATCGAAACATTGATGCCTGCCCAAATTTTGAGGTTATATTAGTGTCGTAATCAGAGTTGCATATGTTGAGCACACGACTAAAATATTTTTACTCCCGCTATTATAGAGTGTGCGCGTATAGCTTGACCAATGCAAGAAACGTAAACTTTCTGCCGTGAAATCGGGGACGAAACAACGTATTTTCAGTCGAGGTAGTAAGAAAAAATAGTTTTTCTATTTTCAAATAGCCATAATTTTTTCAAAAATTCACCTTTTGGTATATTTTTTTGAAATTTTTGTTTCTAATACCTTAAAATCGTTGAATTGCATTTATTTTATTATATAAATAAAGTTTGTGAAAAAAACAAAAATTTAATTTTTGAAAATTGGACAATTTTTTTTTCAATTAAATAAAAAAAATAGAAAAAAACCGGCCCATTCTGGAATTGGCGGGAATAATTGTAACAAATAATAATAATAATAGTAACAATAATTGTAAAGTTTTTTTTAAGAAAAAAAAATAAAAAGTGGCAAACTTCGCAAAAATAACGATTGTCAATTTTTTTCGAAAAATTCATTTAAAAACAAAAAAAAAGATAACAAAAGGTCAATTTTTGAAAAAGTTATGGCTATTTGAAATTAAAAAAACCTATTTTTTTGAAAAATTTAAAACTTTTTTGGGGTTGGATATAAAAATTTAAAAAAATTTCAAAAATGTTTTTCAAAGGGTAGAAAAGAATGGAAAACTTTTGGCCAGATCCAAAAAGGTCCAAAAAGGTCGGGTTCAAATTTAGTTCTTGAATTTTATTTACAATTAAAAACACAATAATTCACCATGATCCCTTAGATAAAATGCACAACGTAACTATATAAGCATTTAGCGTGGAGTTTCTTAATCAATGATATAAGGAATAATCATTCGAAATCGAGTAAAAATTAAAAAACTTTTTTAGTAGGTACCTACCTACTAAAAAAGTTTTTTAATTTTTTCCTTGCAACGTAAAACACAAATAACGTGCGCGATTTAGCTGTGCAATTGAACAAAATTTGTCGAGTAAGACTTCTGCCTTCCTCTCTTTTGTTAAAAAACTACCTATTTATTTAAAAATGATGTACCTATATTCGGTGCTTTAAATTTATTGTAGACAATTCTTAAATTCACGCAATGCATTCGAAGTCCACCAGATGGCGCGCGCGTTCCGAAAACCTGATACTTCTTTAGCGTATAGGTATATATATATATATATGTATATATACGCTCGCCAGGAACGGGCCTGGGTGGGTATACCCACCCAGGCCCGTTCCTGGCGAGCGTGCAGTGCGTGCAACATTTCGGGGGCGCAAAATCAAAGAGTCAATCAGTACTTTGTAACGATAAACTTTCTTGCATATGATACTTAAACATACATTGGATAAAGGTTTCTGCCTTTTTTGCGTCGGCCGATCTAATTTTTGGTCGCTATAAAGCGCCTTTTGCCGCTTTGATATTGGCTGCTTATTTTGTTTTGATATGAGGATCAAAATAAAAGGAGAGAAATGGTCATATTATCTTTAGTATTTGTTTGCAGTTGACGGTAGCACAGTAGTAATTACTACTGTGCTACCGTTAACTCTCTAAAATAGAATTAGTGAAAAATGATTAATTCAATTAGTCCAATTGCAATAGCGAAAAAGCAGCGACTAATAATTATTGTCAATAGCAATTTGTATCCCGGATATTTAGCAGTCAACTCCTATGTAAAATTGTCCGCTGAATCCGAAAATGTTGTCAAAAGTTATAAAAGTAGAACGTTTTTGAGTTTTAGTAAATTTTCTATATAATATGGTATTGACTGACTATATCTTAAAAACTGATTTACTTTTATAATTTTTGACGGTATTTTCGGATTTAGGGGACAATTTTACATAATAATAAGCTAGCTAAACAGCTGTTTAATGCCCGGGATACAAATTGCTGTGGACTAAAGTTATTAGTGGCTGCTTTTTTACTTTGAAAACTAGTCATTTTTATAGAGTACGTCACTAAAAACCAGTTGTAGTTATTATATTGTTTAGATTGTTTTTTTTTTGTTTTCTTTAGAGTATTTTTATCACTGACTATTTCCCTCGTCTTAATTTCCACCAATCACAAACGCGCATTTTGAACTACAAATGGTTTCTAGGTGGAAAAACTGTATGACAGCACCTGTCAGCAGTTTTTTCGAGTTTACCCGCGGCAAAACTTGACAGCTGTTGTCACCAAAAATTGCAATTTATATTTTAATTGTTAACTGTTACTCATGAAGTAGTCTTGTCAAATACCATTCGGGCATCTAACTTTTCCTGTGAAAAAAATCTTTAAAACACAATGCTAATAGTAATATTTTTTAACAAAATGCATTCGTGCAGGTGCAAAAATCCTCGTCTTCGACTCGGATTTTTGTTGCCACCAGCACTCATGCTACTTGTTAAAATATTACTTAGCAACGTGTTTTTTCGATTTTTTTTCGAAAAAATAGATGCCCTTATGATATTACTTGTTTGTTTGGTAATTTAATAAATATTTTTTATACTTAATTTAAGCGGTTTTTTACATTTTCAATTACATATTGCCAGTTTGTCTCAAAATATATATTTTTTAAATTTTACGGCTTAAAATTCAAATATTTAATGTATTATATTTAAATATACCTAAAAGGGGCGCACCAACGAATGCTGCACGCAGGCGCCAGACACCTCCTGCAGGAACGGGCCTGTACCCACCTACCTACCTACAGGGCCGAGCCGTGCCGGGGGTGCAAGGGCCCTTGTGCATGGCACCCGGGCGGCACTAACACAGGGCGGCAAAATATCATCAAAAAAATTGTATCATATTATCAAGAATAAAAAAGCCACCTTGCAATATGCAAAAAACTTTCTAAAAATCACTTGCGGTTTATTGATGTCGGCGTTTCAAGGAATCATCGTTTTTATTCTACACATAAAAACAATACCAAAATTGTGCTGTCAGGTGGCAATGATAAAAAAGACATAACCAAACCCGCGATAGCCACAAAAAATGATGATGACAATTTTCTTAAAGCCCGTTTTATAGATTGCCGCCCGCCCGCTTCGCTTTCCGTCCGTCCGCTTCGAGTTCGTCAAGTTTCATGGTTTACGGAAGCGGGCTTACGGGAAACCAATCAAATCGCGCGCTGTGTACCACGTGATATTGTTTACAAGCTGAACTGTTAAGTTAAAGCATAATTTCTTCCGATTTGACGGCTGCGTATTTCAGCAATTTTTAGTTTTTTTTCTATTAACGTGAGGCAAATAGGATGCAAACATAGTAGTTTCTTTTGTCTTTTAATGCGTTTAAGTTAAAAACTATTTAATGATTTAAAAGGCATCTTTCCGAATTTATTTGTAGCTTTAAGAATATTTTTGACGATGCCAGTTACTGTTGCCCATGAAGAGCGGTCATTTTCGAAATTAAAACTAATTAAGATCCAATTTGAGTCAATTCAGGCTTTCAAATTAAGCAATTATAAGTATTGAAGAAGATATTTCTAACAACTTGGATGTAGGCGACTTGATTAGGGAATTTGCTATTAAAAAAGCGAGAAAAGTGGAATTTTTACATTAATGGGGGCGACAAATTTAATTCTTGCACCCGGGCGGCAGATACCCTAGGCTCGGCCCTGCCTACCTACCTACCTATACTTTGAAAAATGCCATTCCTGTAACAGTGCAGTTAAAGTGAAAAGGGTTTCGGATGCATTTTAAGTGGACGCGAATAGAGCGTGCGCCGGCGGCAGCTTTCGTCGCGACGGCGTGCTGGAATCGATGCAAACCGCCTTCGCACGCACGCATCTCAGTCGCCGTCGTAACCGCCACCATAGATCACTAATACCGCCGCCGCGACACACGTAAACTAAGCAGCTTCTAAAGCTCACGACCTTCGTCTGCTTAAGCTTGTTTTCCCGCGATTGTCGCCTCAGAAAAAGTGCTACTTCTAAATGTTGTTTTACTGCTTCTTCTTCTAATAAGGTAAGTGCGCCATGCTTTTAAGTTAAAGATTTACGGCGAAATTAAGTGAGTCAAGGTGGCTATGGTCCATTGCAATGGACATCTTGACTACTTTTTAATTGACAGATAAATCTTTTTCTATGAATCTGACAGTTTACGTTTGCAAAATTAAGTTTGTATTCAGTTATTTTGTTCTTATACAGGCAGGTATGTAGGCACTGTTTAAAATGTCCATTTAGTTGCATTAAAAAAGCTTCATTTTTTTGTGGAAACATAAGTGTTACAATAACTGTCAAGCTACTGTCAGTTAAACTAAAATAATTTGTTTGTCTTATTTAATGGCCTCGAGGCCAGATCTGGATTTAGAATTTCCAATAAGGCAGTTTATGAACTTTTAACATTTATCTCAAATAGTAAAGTTATGCAAGCCCTTGGTTTAAAATCTTATTAAATAGGTATGTAATTGTTAGGAAACACGCAAAACACTACAATCACGCACAAAATCATGCAGTGTTTAATTGATAACTTAAGTTGCCAATTGGCAACGCTGTGTCCCTGATAATCTAAATTTTTCATTTGGTTTTCGAAAAATTTTAACCCCAAAGTGTAAAATGCATTTTTTTAATATTTGAGGTTATACATTTACAAAAGGTAAAATTTTGATATAAGGTGGTACCTACATAACTCCATTTGAAGGGTTTGATAAATAAAAAACAGTACCTACTACTGTTATAGTGGGCCATAACAGAAAAATTCAGCGGTGCCAATGTAGTAAAAATAAAACGTATTTTAATTAACAAATTAATACTTTATTGCAAATGAAAGTATCATTAAAACTAAAAACAACATAAACAGTAAATAAATAGAAATATAAATTGTTTATATATTTGTTGTTATAATAGCAAAACTATAGAGTTTAAAAATGTAATATTTTGTTTCTTATGCTGGCAGCACGAAATTTGAAATGACAATTTTAAAAAGTGCTTAAATTAGTTTTTTGTGATTTTCACAAAAAATATAGTGTAATAATCATTATGATCATAATGATTATTACACTAAGCTATCGATAGCTTACAAATTAATTATTAATAGTATATTAATATACTATAATTATGTATCAAGTTTGATAAACGCCATTTTATAATTAATGAGTGTATAGAAAAGTTTATAAACGAGGTGCATACTACTTTTTCTACGACAAATACTTATTATTATCTTAAAATGATTTAAATCAAAAAATTTTATATAGCGCCATCTATTAAACAATAGGGGCATCTGTGTATTACCGTCAAATGTCAAATACATTTTTTTATTTTATAAACACAGATTATAAAGATTATAAATCAAAATGTATTTCTTGAAAATTTACAGTTTTTCACAGTGAAAGTAAAGAAAATGTTTTATGAGCACTTTACAGTGGAGTCCGTGTCCGAATTTAAGTCATAGTTTACTGCCGGCGAAATTAAAAAGTCAGTACAATGTTCATATACCTAAACTTTTCAAATATTGGCGTTGAGAAACTATAATACTTTTGTATTTTTGTATTGAGATAATAAAATAATTTTCACATTTAATATTATTTTATAAGAAAGGCACTTTTTTAACGATTGTATGACATTTGACAACTGTCAACCAACTTAAAACTAACTTCAGCCCGTGACTAAAGCGCGATAAAGCCACAACTTGTCAATGTGTATTTAAAAGGTCACTATAGTGTCATGGAAACATGTACGACAAGGTGGGAGTAGAAAAAGTTTATTTTTTATGAATATCAATATCATATTATATAAAATGATACCAATGGTACAGTTTATTTAATTTTCATATGTTACAAAATAAGACAGCAATTTTTTATTTATCGACATTGAGGAAAACAAATTTAAGGTTCAAGGATTTCTTATGATTAATTTTTCATGATCCTATCGATTCATATCGTCAATTTTTTACGAATTTATAAAAGTACCTAATCAGGTATCAGTGATTATCATGATAATTTAAGGAGACATTTAAAATCTTTTTATTTTACTTACACAGGTTTTTATTATGATCAGTGGCGGCTAGCCGCGGCTGGTGGATTTTTGGCAAACCCATATCTCAGTTATTAGACATGGGACCCACATCAAATTTATATGAGTTTATAATGACATTATATACCTAGACAAGTTCTGCGCAAGCAGAACTCAAATTGAAGTTTGCGAAAAAAAGTTAGTTTTTAAGTATGCCCCCCAGCCTCACTGAAGTTTACCGACAAATTTCAAATTTTATTAAAAAAAAGTATTACAGATTTTATACCATTTCTATTTTTTTAATTTAGTAAAAGAAATAATAAAAATTTAAAACATGTAATTCTTGAAATTATTTAATCAAATTTGAAATTTATCAATAAACTTCAGTGAATTAAATATTGTACCACTTTAATTTGAATTATATTAATTTGGGGGGCAGGAGGCTGGGGGGGGGGGCAAACTTAAAAACTAACTTTTTTTCGCAAACTTCAATTTAAATTCTGGTTACGCAGAACTTGTCTATATAATGTCATTGTAAACTCACATAAATTTGATGAGGATCCCATGTCTAATAACTGAGATATGGGTGTGCCCAAAATCCACCAGCCGCCACTGATTATGACATATGTTATTATGATTTTTCAAAAGTACTAATGTGTCATAAAAATGTAAGTAATCTAATCTAAAAGTTTTCATAAGAAAAATAAAAGTTATATTAGAGGACAGACATTGTAATAGAGTTATACAATCCTAATGATTAAATAAATCAATATTGGATATACTTCGATAAAAGGTCATTTTTACCTAAATAGATAACTCCATTAGGATTAAATATAAATTTTCTGTTTACCTTTAAAAGGCCGTCACAAGGTCACAAATTGTAGTTTTTTAGAGAGATCAATGGTAGATATTTTATTCACATTCATTTTTAATGAATATTAATTTTCAAATGTATGTTTTAATATAAGCCATGCATTAAAATATTATGGCGAAACATTCATAAATTTATAAGACAAATACAAAGCAATGTGTGGTAATAAAGACCTGTATAAGTAAAACATAATAATTTTATTTTAAAAACTGTTATTAGGTAATAAATGGAATCCATAATATTTAAATATTTTTTTTTATATACAGAAAACATTTGGCACTTCAATGGTTGTTTATTTTATTTTTATTTTATTATTTTTAATGTGCTTCCAACAGGCACCATGCCCAATTACAGGAGTACACACTGACACACACAAATAAACAGCCATAGTGGGATTCGAACCCACGACCTCTCGGCTTGTAGTCCGCAATCACTGAGCAAAAAAACGTAAAATATATGTAAAATTAACGTCAAAGGTTGTAGTGTGACGTATAAGAATCTTGTAAAATAAAAGTCACATAAACGTCGCTGTGATGTGCCTATGTCCGGATCCTGGGCCGTGAATTAGCTCTAACCGTTACGTGGATAAGGAGACGTAAAAATTGCGTTTTTAAAAGGACGTAAAAATGTCATTTTAATATGGACGTATAGGTTTTGTTTCAACTTGTACGTATTAGTTACGTTTTTTTTTAAATAAAACTACCACTTTGGAAATATATTTTTTTATTAAAATAAATTATAAAAATAAAACATTATTAGTCTGGTAAAAATAATAAATAAAATAAAAAAATAAAACATTATATGAGTACCGCCTAATTAATTTTCGGCTTCATTCTCATGTCCAAATTTGGCCAAAAAACGTTATGAGCGTTGCTTACACCACCCAGGGCGGTGTAGGTAGATAAAATATAGTAAAATACCTATACCAATATTTTTTATTAAAATTAAATTTTTTATTAAAATGCCATTATTAAGCCATGAAACTATGTAATGGGCCATTGGGTAGTACGTAATTGATATAAAAATAAAAGGACCAATCACTGCCCTTGTGGAAATTTTTCTCTGAGAAAGTCTTACTTTCTCTTAAAAAGTCTGAATAATACTTATTAAGTCTGAAAAAGTCAGAATAAGACTTATTAAGTCGGAAACAGTCTGAATAAGTCTTATTAAGTCAGACTAATAGCAAGATTTGGGAGTCTTCTGGAAGAGTTAATAAGACTTTTTAAGACTTTTATTAGAGAAATGGTAAGTACCTATGGCGATAAAAATAAATATCCGAAATAATTCATAGCGGTTGTATTTGGTTATCGTAAAATAAAACACATAGAAAAGTATTTATTAACATTTTTGCTGTTGGTATAAGCCAAGTTTATTGCATAATTAATTATTTGTATAATAACATAGGTAAGATGTAATAATTATAACAATTATAATTTTATACATACGATGAGCTTGACATGCTTTCATTGTTTCCACCATAGAAAAAGGAGTTGCCACTGTACGTTTTATTTTAATAGTTTTTTTTTGATACACGTAAATATTTATCTATCTTGTTACAAACAAATCTTCTAGACGTAATATCGAGAGACCAGCTCAGCTAGCTGACCAATTAGAGCACAGCTGACCTGTCAGTGGGACACAGTGTTGCCGTTTGCAATTTTACTCGAAAATCGGGTATTTTCGTAATATTTGCGGGTGAAATCGGGTGATTTGCGAATTTCTATCAAAATAATAACAAAAGAAATTTTCAGTAAATAATATTGTATATTTACTAAATATGCACAATTATCTTATTCTATCGTGTTACATTTTTATTATTATTTTAGTATTTTGTAATTTATGGTCAGGAACTTTTATGGCAACACTGTACGTAAACACGAAGATAAACCATGATACAAAGATGAATGAAACACGAAGATCAACCATATTTGTCTTATGAGTCTATCGAAAATATCATGTCTATAGACATGATATTAACTCCTTTTTCTATGGTGGAAACAATGAAAGCATGCATGTCAAGCGCATCGTATGTATAAAATTATAATTGTTATAATTATTACATCTTACCTATGTTAGGTTATTATGCAATAGGGAAAGGTGGGGGAATTCTGCGCATCTAAGCAAAATCTCTAGTATCTTTGTTATGTTTAAATGTGAAATTTTCCAATTAATACCAGCAATAGTCTACCATGTTTACTATGTGTATATAATGCGCAATTTATAAAAAAAAATTGTTTGGTATGCAAAAACTACATTTTTTTAAATAATGCATTTGCGCAAAATTACCCACCTATCAGGGTAATTTTGCGCATCATGGTGGGAAAATTTGCGCTGTATAGAGAAAGATTTGTAGGTATCTAAATAAACCGTTTATTTCTATAATATTATTATATTAAAACATAAAAATAAAACAAAACTATTTTCTCTATGAAACAAACAAAACAAACAAGATCAAAAATAAATAACTAAAAATAAAATTTTTGTTCTTAAAAATAAGAGGGTCTACATGCAGCAGTTGTCACATATGTAGTTTTAGGGGTTGTTTTTTACGCTACACTCCGCGTGTGCCCAAATGGAACTGTTTATGCTGAACAATCTAGGCTCCTGTATACCAAAGCTCCCATATTGGCCAAATTTTGCAGCGCAAATTACCCCAATTTTTCAGCGTAAAATTACCCCCATTGCAAGAAAAATATTGTGATACTAAAAAACATTCCAAAAGTTAACCTGAACAATTTAAACATACACCAGATTACGAGGAAAGATCATATAAAGTTGTGTTATAAACAAGCTACAAGCTTAATTGCGGTACACTTTAGTCCCCGTATACCCAAAGCAACGTTTCCAAGTTTGCAACATTTAAAAAATGTATTATTTACTTCATATCTGGAAGAATTGTTTATGCGTAAAATTACCCACCGCGCAAAATTCCCCCACCTTCCCCTAAACTTGGCTTATAACAACAGCAAAAATGTTAATAAATACTTTTATATATATTTATTTATATTTATTTTTATCGCCATAGGTACCTACCATTTCTCTACTAGTAGTCCATTCCATTTAAGAAAAAAGCATTGAGTTGAATAGGATTTATTATAGACCAATCACGACGCTTAAAATTGTGGCTTTTTTTACACAGGCGAAAATTTATAACCCATCTCTTTTTAATACGTTGGATGTTGATATATCCTCTCTTTCTCTCTGATAAAACGTAGTTCTCATACACTGAATATTTTCTCATACAGCGTTGCCATGGCTTCTAAAAACAAATTTACAAACTGACATAATAATATTATACAATAAACCAGCAAGAGTTTTTATAATATTTAAATTATAAAATTATATTATATTAGCTTTTGTCGGCAATTTGTCAAAAATATTTTAAATATAGAAAGAATTTATCTTTTCAAAATGTTGGATTTATCGCACATTGGCAACGTAGCATCAGCTGTTATAATACAAAGTGTATATTTTGTTAATTACATGTTCTGTGATTTTTTGGCTTTATTTAACGTATTAACCGTTGTTAATAAATTTTTAATGAAAAACAGGTAAGTCAATTACATTAAAATCGCTTAACATAACCAAAGAAAAATATTTTTATATTTTTGAGAGACAATATTGATAATATGGACAATATAAACAATGTGGACAATGTGGAAAACCAACAATCTGTCCTAAAAAACAAATCTGGCCAATATATAGGACGAGGTCAAAGAATAATACTTTTTAATATGGTAAAAAACATATCGATGAAGGAAAATCAAAAAGTGCCAGTGTAAGAAACTGGTATTTCAAAAAGTACCATTTGGTTCACCATCAAACAAATGGAACATGACGGAAAGGCTACATCACAGAACATAAGGGCTACATCTCCATTAAAGAAAAGAAAACGGGCAAGTCAATATGACAAATTAAGTGAGGAACAAAAGAAGCACCCAAGAAAAGTTGTTCATAACTTTTTTATAAATACCTAATAAAATACCAAATTTAAGTAAAATTTATTGAGTAAGTAATTATGTTATTGAAATATGTTTAATAATTGATTCGAAAAATGTTCCCTTAATGTAAATAATAAATAAAATAGAGGGTAGGTATACCATGGTATACCTACAGGTGCTGTCAAATAATAAAAATGAGTTTAGCTTTAAATAAATAAGTTTTAATTATTAAAACATACAACCTGTGTATAAACTAACTTTTTTTTATTTTTTTAGGCCGAAAAGGATGATAACTTACCACCAATTTCTTGGACAAATTTATGGAGAATTTTAAAAAAACTTGACTTCAAGTATGAAAAAAGGTGTAGGAATCATTTACTGGTTAAAAAAAGTAAAATAGTAATTTGGAGAAGAAAATATATTGATATCAGGAGTTATCGATTACAGGATCAAAAAATATATTACATGGATGAGATTTGGATCAATGCAGGACACAAAGCCCAAGGTGTATAAATGTATTTGAGTAAAAGTCAACAGAGAATTATCATGAGGATATTAATGGAACTGTTTTTGAGACTTGGATAAAAAATGTTTTACCAAAAATAAAAAAGAACATTGTTGTTGTGATGGATAATGCCCCTTATAATTCTGTTAAAATTGAAAAAAATTCATCAGCAGCATGGAAATTGGGAGGCCATTTTGACGTGATTTGTCTGTAAAATTTTGTTTTTTTAATAAAACCTTCATTAATTGCATTTGTATTTTATTTAAGCCTTACTTAAAAAAAACTAGATTTAATTTTTTAAATAACTTTTCAGTTGGGTAAGTAGGGTCTTCATATGTAAGTTGTTCAGAATGAATGTAAAAAAAATCCTAATTTTTACAATAGCTATTTTATTTTCTTGATATCGGTTAATTTCTTACACCCAAATTTTATTATATGTTAAAATATAAATCGATGAATAAATAATAGATTAATTAATTTCATTCGATCAATTTCATTAAATATTCCTTAGCAAATAATGTTAGTAGCAATCGCTTATAACGAACCGTAATAAACCATTTGTTATCTATGATAAACCATTAAAGATGGTTTGCTGTTTGTTATTTTAGAAAAAATAAACAAATTTCATATAGGTAGGTACATATAGGACATATGTATACTTTATATTAAAAAATGCACTTTTCAAATCCATGGATGTATGCTTACAAAGAAAAAAATTTTACCATTTAATTTATCTTACATTTTTAATAAAACTCGGTCTACTTATTAATTACTAAATTTTTATATTATAAAATCATTAAAATTTATTAAAACATTAAAATATGTACTATTTTCCACATCAAAAAAATGAACTGACATTTAAATTATTGAGGTTATGTTGCTCAAATTATTGTTTATTTCTTCTTATTTTCTGTAAATAATATAATACATGTCTAAAGGTCTTAATTATTATAGTAAATTATTTTTTCATGGTATGGGACATTCACGGTTGCTATGATTTGTGCATATATGCAATATATTTGTTGTAACATATTAATATTCTATCAAAGACAACCGCCATTATATTTAAATTTGCCGCGTACTCCTGTGTAAACCTGTCTCGTTTTGCAGCGACATCTCCTTTATTCTTAAATGGAATGGACTTAGTCTTATTAACTCTTCCAGAAGACTCCCAAATCTTGCTATTAGTCTGACTTAATAAGACTTATTCAGACTTTTTCCGACTTAATAAGTATTATTCAGACTTTTTAAGAGAAAGTAAGACTTTCTCAGAGAAAAATTTCCACAAGGGTGCACCTACTGCTAACCTCTAATTTTGATGTTACAGACTCTTATCGGACAAAATCCGCAATGGCATCAAACTTACAAATAACCTTCGACTAACCTAAAAATGTCCAAGGAGAGCTCCGGGGGCGACATCCCCACCATCTTCAACCCCAAGGGGGCGGCCGGGGCGGGCCGACAGCGCGCCCCCAGCGTCCTGATAACGGACGAGGGGGCCAACAGCGCGCTGTTCGCGCACGCCGACTCGCTGGGCAGCCAGCAGGAGGCGGCGGGAGAGCCGCTGGCGGCAGGGGCCACGAGGCCCGCCACCCTCGCCACCAAGATACGCTCCTGCTCGGCGGGATTCTGCTCCGAGAGCGCCAGGAAGGTACGTACGTCATTTCGGTCATTTTATTTACCTACCCAGATACACAGCAAACGGAAAATTATAGAGGTGTATAGGATGACGCCACGTTTGAATATCGATTTCTAAATCTCCCTACGGTATAGAGTGGTATTCGTCAGTCGAGCGTTTCAATACTCTCCACAGTATAGAGGTCGTAATTTCACTTTTGAACTAGTTTTAATATAAAAATTATTTTATGCTTAAAAAAAAATATATACGACATGATTGTGATTTTTTTCATTTTATTAATTAATTAAGCTGTGTTGAATATTTTTCCTAAAGGAATAATTGCCAATGGGCCATTAATTCATTTGTTCGTAGATGCTACAATAACCTGCACTGGTGTGTACTTTTTCATCAACCAGATTTAAATATTACAAAACTATACCAGTGGAGATAGTGCAGGGTCTACCAACAGACCTAATTACTAAATTATTAAAGTTTAATAGCATATCGATCATTTTTCAACATAACCTCTTAAATTTTTAATACAAATATAGGTACTTTATATAATACATAAATATACTTAACATCATATCCTCTGTGCTTTACATACCTGAGTTGTTACGGTAAATAAAAATCAGACAAAGGAACCAAAGAAAGGAACTATTTTCAACAAAATCATATGGAGAAATGAGAAAATTCATCCATCAAAAGATCAAAACTTCTTGCAATATTACACCCTCTTTTTATACTCTCAGAAATATTGACTAGAACAGTATTAGAGAGACTCCAGTTTCTATAACTTGGTAGAGTAAAGAGAAGTCGAAACCGTTGCGATATTGCATTGCGCTGTTTTTGTATAATTCTCGGGGACATTAACGAAAATCATTGCCAGTAAAATTCGAAAAGCTTGAGTTTCTATGTCTCTGAGGAGAATAGGAATCCGAAGTTGCTGCACCATTGGACTGAACCCTTTTTTAATAATTTCTAGAGACATATATGACTGCACCATTCGACAGGGTCGAGTTTCTACTCCTCTGTTGTATATAGAAAATCAAAATAATGTATCTTGTAAGACACCATTGAGTTTGACTTTAAATATAGTCGTGCATAGGTATAGAGCCGAAAAATATAAAAACAAAGCACGATTCAATACAGTTATGATAAAACTTTAAGATTTGATATTCAAACGCGGAGTCATCCTATACACTTCTATAATTTTTCGTTTGCTGTGATAGCACAAGAGGTACCCAGGACGTCCATTTCGGGTCCCACATAGGTCCGAACGTCCTAGACCTATATCGGAAGTTTTGGGTACGTCCAGTCTCTTACTTATTTGGGAAAATTATAGCGGATATACTGGGTACGTCCCAAGGACGTAATTGAAGCATTGTGTTTCCAAATGGTCTAAGTGCCAAGTTGGTTAAATATATATATATATATATATATATATATAATATTATAATATATTATCATTTAAAAATAGTTTATGTCATGCAGAATGACTTAATAGTATATTCTGTAACAAGTTTGAAATACAGCATATCCGCTCGAGTGAAGAGTTTGTCACACGAGCCGAAGGCGAGTTTGACGGTTTCAGGAGAGCGGAATATGCAATTCCAAACGTGTTTCAGACATTTTAACATTTACATGTGCAAAATATTTGTTTTTCATTGATAACTCACAATTTTATTTTTGTAACTTAGACCCCCCAGACAGCATCCAATTCAGAAAGATTTCTGTACGAAGTCTGTTGAAAAACATCTTACTGAGGTCACAATATGACATATGTGAAAAAAGATACTTAAAGATGTTAAAAAATTTACTTCTTATTTATGAATTCATCAAGAACTCTTAATTTTGAGCTCCTAAAAATGATTTCTCTAAGATATCTTAGAGAAATCATTTTTAGGAGCTCAAAATTAAGAGTTCTTGATGAATTTATAAATAAGAAGTAAATTTTTTAACATCTTAAAGTATCTTTTTTTCTGACCTCTTATTGAAATCAAAATTAGAAGTTATTAGTAGGTATCATAAATAAGACTTTAGTATTATATATTCAGTATTCTCTTTTCTTACTTCTTACTGAAATCATATTATTAACTCTTTAAGACGTCAACATGGAGACGTCACATTTATGACATTTTAATGCGATTCTTTCTTCTCACCGCTGTAACTGTTTGTGTTTGATATAAGAAGCGGCGAAGTAGAATTTAGAGCGTCCTTCATACCAAACGGTCTTAGACCTAGGTAAACGGCTACCCGATACTGACGAGCTCCAAAAGAGGGAAACAGGCCGTCTATCGGTGCCGGTGAAGAGCACGCTTAAATTTAAACAAAAGTGAGACGAAGTAATCGCAATTCCTAAAATAAGCGAATACGAGCAAATTATTAAAATGATTTTAATAAAATCCATTTAACAAATTAATAAATTAAGACTTAATTAAGACGTCATATTGCTGTCTGGGCCTTTGGGAATACCACTCTTCAATTCTGTAAAGCTTGTCCATTAGTCCCCAATAAAGCATTTCAGGATGGCCAGAGGATGTCTTACTTAGGACGTTCTGGGGACCGACGATTTGGTAACATCGGATGTCCCTGGGGTCCTGGGGAAGGTTCAGGACCTGATTCGGACGTACTCGGAACTTACTAATGTCTGATACAAGATATACTCAGGACGTTTTTAGTACTTTTTTGTGCTATCTTTTTTTTCAAAATTTAAAAAGAATAATTTTTTTTCGTAATAGTACACTGACAGGAAAAATAATCGATCCACACAAATTTTCGATGAATTTCAATCGCAAATAACTTTTATTTGATGTCGGATTTAAACGAATATTAAAGAATATTGTAGATAAATTAATAGACAATCGCTCACATTTGAAAAAATTACTAAAAAATAGACGTACGTTTATACTATACAGGTTTAAACAAAAATATGTTTTTTACCATATGTTTAAGACACTCTGTAGAGTGGCAAAACCGTATATTGTTCTAAATTAACTTTTAATTATCAAGTCACATCTATTCTTAACAGTTTTGTTTTTGTTTTACCTCGGTATATTTATTTTTGTGGCAAATATGGATTTATTAAAAAAACATTGCAATTTCCAATATTTTTCTGTATGAAGAACCAAGGTTGCTATGGTCCATCCATAGGCTATGGAGAATGACAGTGACTGTTTTCTTGAATCATCCCATACTTGGACATGTCATACACGGCTTTCAAAAGCTATCAAATTGTTTTTTGCAAATTAATGTTTAAATTTTGAGGTGTCTTCTTACTTTAAAAAATGGATATGTCTCCGACTGATGTTGCCATAGCCATTAATTTAATCCAGGAAGGAAAAAAATTATTAGGGTCGTTTTTTCAGTACGCCACTGAATGCGGCATGCTTCAAAATGGTTGCAAACCAAATTTCATTAAAAACGAATAATTAATAACTATTCTTTGGCAATTTTAAAAAAAAATATTTATAAGAACAATAAAACACATTTAGGAGGTTTAATAAGTACGCCACTGAACGCGGCATACTTCAGAATGGGTACAAACTTAATTTTATCAACTACCTATTAATAACTTCTTCTTACTACCTCGACTGAAAATACGTTGTTTCGTCCCCGATTTCACGGCAGAAAGTTTACGTTTCTTGCATTGGTCAAGCTATACGCGCACACTCTATAATAGCGGGAGTAAATAGTATATTACACTACAAGGGCAGAAAGTGTGAGATTCCTGCACTGCGCGCCATAATGCCCGAGGCGAAGCCGAGGGCATCATGGCGCGCAGTTCAGGGCTCTCACACTTTCTGCCCGTGTAGTGTATACTATTTTTCTTGCTACCCCCGCAGAAAATACGGGAAAAAATTAAATGTATTTAAAAAAACTTGTGTCAAAATTAAAATCTGACGTTTAATTTAATTCTGACGTTTACATTCAAAATCAATCCAACTGTAGCGTTGTCATGGTAATTCAGCGGTGCCAATACAGTAAAAATAAAAGGTTGTATTTTAATTAACAAATTACTACTTTATAACAAATAAAAGTACCATTAAACACTTAAAACAACATAAAAAGTAAAAAAGTAAAAACATAAATTGTTTATTTGTTGTTATAATTGCAAAATTATGGTTTAAAACTGTCATATTTTTGTGTTTCTCATGTTGGCAGTACGAAATTTGAATTGTGCTTAACGACTAAAAAATTTTTACTCCCGCTATTAGAGTGTGCGCGTATAGCTTGACCAATGCAAGAAACGTAAACTTTCTGCCGTGAAATCGGGGACGAAACAACGTATTTTGACTCGAGGTAGTAAGAAAAATATTTTAGTCGTGTGCTCAACATATGCAACTATGATTACGACCAGGGTTGGGTCAGTAGAAAACCTTAGGTAATTTACCTTGGTAGAAAAGGGTAGAAAACTTGTTTTCGACTTGCGTCGAAAACCTATAGGGTTTTCTACCTACGTAAATTACCTTATTCGACCTTCTCCTTCCACTTCTCTATAATTGATAAAAATTTGCCCTCATGCCAAAAATTATGTTGGGGTCTCCCAACCAAACGTGGCCCTTTTTTTCCCACCATAATAATGTTAAAAAACTCCAAATAACTTCAAATTTATGGTAGGTGTCTGATTTTTCACAACATTTAACAAATCATAATAAACAACAAACTTGCATAACCTCACATTTTTTGATATTTGACAGTATTCTACTTTTTTACGTTTTCTACCGTCGAAAACGTCGAAAAAGGTTTTCTACATGTCGAAAACAAAAATGTAGGTAGATACCCAACCCTGATTACGACACTAATATAACCTCAAAATTTGGGCAGGCATCAATATGTTTCGATATACACATTTAATTTTTTTCCGTATTTTCGGCCGGGTTGTATTTTCGGCCGAGGTAGTAAGAAAAATAGTATACACTACACGGGCAGAAAGTGTGAGAGCCCTGAACTGCGCGCCATGATGCCCTCGGCTTCGCTGCGGGCATCATGTCGCGCAGTGCAGGAATCTCACACTTTCTGCCCTTGTAGTG